GAATTGGTTTGTGCAGGGAAGGGCAGCGTGGAGGTGAAGCCGTGTGAGAAAACCTCGGACAGGGTCTGTGTGTGCCAGGCAGGATTCAGACCAGCTGGGATTCCCCTGGGAAATGGTGAGATGGGAATGGAAATGGGAATGGCAATGGGAATGGGAATTCCCTTGGGATGAGCTGGGAATGGAATGGGAATGGGAAAGGGAAAGGCTGGGAATGGGAAGGGCTGGGAATGGGAAGGGCTGGGAATGGGAATGGGAATTCCCTTGGGATGGGCTGGGAATGGGAATGGGAATTCCCTTGGGATGGGCTGGGAATGGGAAAGGGAAAGACTGGGAATGGGAATTCCCTTGGGATGAGCTGGGAATGGGAATGGAAAGGGCTGGGATTGGGAATTCCCTTGGGATGGGCTGGGAATGGGAATGGAAAGGGCTGGGATTGGGAATTCCCTTGGGATGAGCTGGGAATTCCCTTGGGATGACCTGGGAATGGAAATTCCTTTGGGATGGGCTGGGAATGGGAATTCCTTTGGGATGGGATGGGAAGGGATGGGATTGGGAATTCCCTTGGGATGTGCTGGGAATTCCCTTGGGAAGGGCTGGGAATTCCCTTGGGAAGGGCTGGGAATTCCCTTGGGATGGGCTGGGAATTCCCTTGGGAAGGGCTGGGAATTCCCTTGGGAAGGGCTGGGAATTCCCTTGGGATGGGCTGGGAATTCCCTTGGGATGGGCTGGGAATTCCCTTGGGAAGGGCTGGGATTGGGAATTCCCTTGGGAAAAGTTGGGATCCAGAATTCCCTTGGGAAGGGATGAGCTGGGGTTGGGAATTCCTTTGGGATGAGCTGGGATTGGGAATTCCTTTGGGAATTGGTGAGTTGGGATTGATGCCCTCTGGAATTCCCTTGGAATGCTGGAATCCAGAATTACCCAGTGGATAAATCTGGGAATTTCTGCCACTCTGCTGGATAATTTCCATAATTAATTATCCCTGATAATTTCCATAATTATCCAGTGGATAAATCTGGGAATTCTCTCCTGGATAATCCCTTTTTTTTTTNGGGCTGGGAATTCCCTTGGGATGGGCTGGGAATTCCCTTGGGAAGGGCTGGGATTGGGAATTCCCTTGGGAAAAGTTGGGATCCAGAATTCCCTTGGGAAGGGATGAGCTGGGGTTGGGAATTCCTTTGGGATGAGCTGGGATTGGGAATTCCTTTGGGAATTGGTGAGTTGGGATTGATGCCCTCTGGAATTCCCTTGGAATGCTGGAATCCAGAATTACCCAGTGGATAAATCTGGGAATTTCTGCCACTCTGCTGGATAATTTCCATAATTAATTATCCCTGATAATTTCCATAATTATCCAGTGGATAAATCTGGGAATTCTCTCCTGGATAATCCCTTTTTTTTTTCCCCAGAGTGCTCCCGATGTCCTGAAGGGACTTTCTCCACAGGAAGGAACGAGAACTGCCAGCCTTGGACCAAGTAGGAATCCCTTTTTTGGGGGGGAAAAAATCCCTTTTTTTGGGGAAAAAAATCTCTTTTTTTGGGGAAAAAAAAATCCCTTTTTTTGGGGGGAAAAATCCTTCTTTGGGGAAAAAAAAAAAATCTCTTTTTGGGGGCAGTGTGCTCAGAGCAGCTCTGGGGGTTTCATTTTTCCAAGAAAATCCCAAATCCAGATAAACAAATTGGAATAAACCTGGATTGAAGTGCCCTGAATCCCATCCTTTGGGATTTTTAGGATCCCAAGGGATTTTTAAGGATTTTCTACTTTAAAAAAAACCCAACAAACCTCTTGGGGGTTTTTTTTGGGAACAAAAAATTCCAGAATGGGATTTTCCAACTGGGGGGAAAAAAAAACAACTATCCTGGATTTCTTTTTCCCAGCAATAATTGATTTAATTATTTCCTCCCATTCCTGTGGGAATGTAGGGATGGTAAACCCTAAATTTGTAGGGATAAAACAAGGATTGGGATGGGATTTTTTTTTTTTCCCCTCAGGAATGTGATTGTTATCCAGGGAGAAATGAGATTTTTCTCCCCTCAGGAGTGTGATTATTATCCAGAGAAAAATAGGATTTTTTTCCCTCAAAAATACAATTATTATCCAGGAAAAAATGGGAATTTTTTTTCCACTCAGGAATGTGATTATTATCCAGGAAAAAAAAAAACCATCTGGCATTTCTTTTCCAGCTGCAGCTCTTTTGGGAAGATCACTCTCCGAGCTGGCACGGCCACAGAGGATGCCCTGTGCAGCAGCCCTGGCCTGGATCCCATTCCCACAGAATTCCCAAAAACCAGAGCTCAGAATCCCACAGAATTCCCAAAAACCAGAGCTCAGAATCCCACAGAATTCCCAAAAACCAGAGCTCCCATTCCCACAGAATTCCCAGAGAACAGCTCCAGCCCCAGGGACATCCCCACGGTTTGTTCGGATCCCGGCAGCCCCACGGAGCCCAGCTGG